TATATATATATATATATATATATATATATATAAATAAATAAACCTGCAATAGATGTGTTGTTATGGAAATTAATGGGACTAACTTATAAGTAAATATGGTGTCTGCAGGATGTCTTGGGACAGTCATATATGCACCAACAGAGGGAAGCACATGTACCGTGCACTTACAGAAAATATATTTTTTATAACAACACATCTAATTAATCCCCCCATCTCATATTTCTTATGGATTAATACTTGAGGAAAATGTCAGTTCAAGTATTGGTACATTTTTATTGTTTTTGGAATATTTGAACACATCTGTTGGTGACAGGCTTAAGGAAGGCTCAAAAGAAAATTATAATTGTATTCTATACTGATATCATATTATTGCCATACTGAAGTGGAGCAATTTTTTTGTAAGCTTGATTACCACCCCCCACTACCCCACCCTTGACTCCCCAGGACTGGTGGTAGCTAGATCACATTGTTTTAATTTCTCTTGATTCCTGTGATGCTGGAGGGTTTCTCTTCAATGTTTAGGGCTAACACAAGTCCTTCTCCCTTCTACGTTCCCCAAACAAAACTTTAAAGCATATACTGGTAAGAATGCAGCTCCTATAGAATCAAATCAAAGCTGGAGAGTGTGAATAGATTTTAGGGTGGGGATTTCTATAGCTTCCAAAAGTTCACAGGCTTCGAAAGCAGACAGGAGCTGAGAAAAATGTGAGAATTATGCGGGAAAAATCATTAATCATTTCTTTTCTTCAAATACTTATCCTTTTCCTATTGTTATTCAACAGCAAACCTCTACAGACCTTCTGTTGGGGAAAAAAGAGAGCACCCGGGAGCCTTGAATCTTTTAAGATATCTTCCAGGAGATAATATTCTCTGAAATATACATTAAAAATTGAACACTTTTTTATTTTAATGGAAGACTTGACTTCAAATATGAATACGATCAGCTATAAACATCTGGAAAAAAATCCTATGAAGCTAAAAAGGTAATATATGTAAAATAATATATATATATATATATAATTATTTTAAAGCATGGGTTGTTCTTTTGAAACTGCATATTGCTCGGGTTTTAAGAATGAAAGTTGGCAGGGACAATGTCAAATGTCTTCTCTTAAAATTGTGTCCCGTGAAGCGAAGAAGCTGGATTCTATGTCGACTTGTTCATTCCAAAGCAATGACCTCGAAGTACTATGGTCTTACTTTTCTGTAAGTGTTTTCATAGAATTTGCAGTTCTGGATGAAGGCAGAATTTTTTTTCATCAAAAGAACAAAGAGAAAAAACACAGTTAATTTAATTTGTTTCCTGATTATGTGAGATTTCTAGAATTTTGTTTTCTGTGCAAGGTTTATTTTGTTTTAATACAGTTTTCTTGTATGAAAGTTATCAGTTTTTTGGGTAGAACTGACAATAAGTAGGCATCAGAATTAAGAAGCTCCCTATTTCTATTTCTCTATAAATTTTGTGCTTCCTAGAATTTTTTTTCCAGGTATAAGATAGTACACCTCATAATTGCAATTTGGAAAAAGGAGGCACAGCTAGTAAATTGCTGCTGAAATGCATGTGTCTTGTATGTTTTATATGAGCTTTAAACATTTGTTGGAAGAGTTATGAACAATAGATTGTTGCCTATCTATCTATCCACCCATCATCCATCCATCTATCTATCTATCTATCTATCTATCTATCTATCTATCTATCTATCTATTTATCTATCTTTGATCCATGTGCATTTCAAGATGGAGAAGGCTTATATTAAACAAACACAGTTAAAATTTGACCCTGGTGAGCTGCAGAGTGAGTGCTGAGTTCATCCAAGGGACACATTTTCTGAATGATTAGCCTGGTATTGCAACTACAGAATGACCTCTCCAAACCCCTTGACCTTTTCAGGACTGGACATTGTGCCATATAGCATGGATCACACAAAAGCAGGGGTAGGCTAAATCAAAATCTGGAGACCAACCTGAAAACTCTCAGCAAAAACAGCCATTACCCAACACCTTTCCCACCCCCAGATTTCCTTCTACTTTTTGTAGATCTTGTTAATTTTTCCTGTAGCTGAATTATGTTGTCTGAAGCTGGGCTTTTTTTTTTGGTAGGGTTTGCTGATGAGGGCAGAATCCCAAGAAAAGTTCTCCTTCACAATGAATGGGAGTTGAAAAGTTAGGCTGGTTTGATTGATGGAGATTAATTTAATGTGCTCTTATCTTACTTTGGTCTACTTGAATTTAATTATGAATAGAGACAATTTCTCTGTCCCAAAGTACCTGGATATTACTTTGTCATCATCAGATGTGGAAATAAGAATCACAATGATGGTTGTAGAAGTAGAAATGCTATGGCTTTCCCTTGCTTCTCAGTTGGGTTGATTCTTTCACTTTTTTCTTCCCTGCAAGAACAACAGACAGCATTTGATGACTAGATGTCTTTCATAACCCCCTTAAGATTCACCGACAAGAATATAGAGGGAAGGTTTTTATCCTTCTCTCACTGTCTTCCTTATCATTTTTTAGAAAGATGATCTCCAATATCTCACAAATGTTTTAACAACCCATTCTCTCCCTCCTGCCTGAAAAAGCTTTGGTGGTCCAGATTTTGATAAATATATTTCTTGACTACTGAAGATAGCCAGGAGACTAGAATGGCAGTCTTACCATCTTTTGTTTTTATTTCCCAATTTGATGCCCATTTTTCTCTATTCCTTTTCTTTTATGCCTTTTTCTCTCTCTAATGAAATTGTGGAATGTCAATTCAGAAATGCTTGTAAATGTTTGGAGATTTTACAAAATTTTGTAAAGGATTCAGGCATACATTCACCCATGAAATGTAACATCTTTATGTTGTTTCTGATACTCTAACTATAGGAGGCAGGGAAAGTAGTAAAGGCACTTATTTTTCAAAGGAGTCTAAATAAATCAAATCAATGGATGATCTTATCCCTCTCAACTTGCAAGGCCAAGTGAGAGCAATAACTAGGGAAATCCATGAAAGATTTGCCATAATACACAAGGCAGGCTGTAGACTAATCTTTGCCAATTGAGACTCCAAAATTGCTTTAAACTGGTTTAAGGCCATTTATACCTACCTAAGTAAAAGGAAAGGAACTACCAAATTGCAGTCTGCACAGTTCCATCTAGGTACCTCAAAACCAAGACCAAAATTGCTGCTTGCTTTGAGCTGCATAAAATGTTCTTTAAAGATCACCCATAAAGCTCCCACCTTCCTCCATATCCCCAAGTTGGCATTCACAAGGAAAGCTAACTTTTAGATAAGTAGTGATTAATAAAGGGTGTTTTTTTTGCTATATGCATTTTGTTGAGTAGAGAAATAAAAAATAAATTAAAAAAAACAACAACCCAGACCACCTTCCAGATGTTTTGAAAGTACAAGTGATGGGAACTATAGCCCAAGACATCTGGGGGAATAGGTAATTGAGGCAAACTAGAATATGTAGGAAAACTGATCAATGAAAGAGAGAACATATGTCCTCTACCCTCTCTCTCTCACAACACACACACACACACACACACACACACACACACACACACACACACAAGCTCTTGTTTGTCAGGCACGTCTTATTCTTCTCTTTGACACACCAAGAAAACTAGCTAGTGGATGTGTACAATGTGTACAAATATGCTCTTGAATCCTCCAGAAGTGTTGGACTCCTGCTCTGTGCTTTGCTAATAGTTCTAGAAAGAAAACTCTCTAGATGCAGCAATTGGGGCCTACCAGTCTGGAGCCAGGAATTTTTGGGGTCAGGCCAAGGATACTGACTCATTCTCTCCTCTTTCTGCCATGTAGTTTTATTTCAGCCTCCCCCAGTGATTTCATATTTTTTTAAAATTAAATTACTATCTCCATTTACTTTGGGAATGATAGCTTAATACATTCAAAGATGCTTTCAAAGTTGGGAAATACGAAGAAAGTTTGTGGGTGTCTGCACTCAACCTTGCTACCTGTGTGCATATATTTGCTTCAAACCAAGCTCAAAGCATATGTTTTCTCTTTCTTCAGATGTATGTCATGGTTCCTTCCTTCCTTCCTTCCTTCCTTCCTTCCTTCCTTCCTTCCTTCCTTCCTTCCTTCCTTCCTTCCTTCCTTCCTTCCTTCCTTTCATAGGTCCCTTTTGGGGAGAGATGAAGAAGCGAAGAAGCGGGTTGTTGAGGCTAGGCAGAGTATGGGGTTTGGGAACATTCTCAGTTTGATCAGTAGCCCCCTTGACAGATTTATGATCCCCAATAAAACAAGTGTGTTTAAATTCGTAAATCAATCTGCCTTTCCCACTATATAATGTTCATTTTATCTCCAGAGAGAGAAAAACCCTCTCGTTTCTCGCACCTTCCAGGGTGAAGCAAAGACGCTTCCTTTCCTTTGAACTGTAAAAGACAGAAAGTCTTTTAAAATCAAAGTTGCTCTTTTTTTAAAAGAAAGACAGAGGGAGGGAGGGAGGAGGGAGAAGCAGATGGATTTTTTCTTCCTTCTTTGTACAAAGATCATAGAATATTTTCTTGATTTTTCCTTGCTCTTTTTTATTTCTTATAAATAACTCTCCTTCCCGCCCTTCCTTCCTTTCTCAGAATGCTTGAAAATTCTATATATTGTACACTGAGGTTAATTTCATTCTTTAAAATCCCTACTGCAGTTTTTTTTTCAATGGTTACTTCTCAAGTCAAAACTGGATTTTTCTTTGGGTTTTACTTCCCACATCAAAATATTTTAGGATGAGAGATAATTGATATATTGATAGATTAGTAGTGGTGGATTAGGAATTACAACTGGCCACATCACTGACATTTTTTGAATGTAAGATTGAGTGAAACCACAATAATATTTAATAATATTGAATAAGGATATTTATGTATATGGAAAAACCTTATTGGATTAACATGTTTCTATGCAAATGAACTTTAAGATCTTAGCCACACCTATAGGCAAGGGTTTCATGATCCAGCTATTGTTTTCTATATTTTTTCAACCAGAATATTGCATTCTAAAAAAAAAAAAGCCTTTTTATGACTCAAAATCAACTCCCCCTCTTCCACTGTCAGCATAAGATTTGCTTCAGTAGAACCAGTGATGGTAGCCATCCTGAAAGGCTGAACACTGCATGCTCTTCATAATCCTTTTGTTACACAGATTTTAAGACTAAAGTGTTTTCTCAATATTTTATTAAGTCCTGCCTAAAATGCATTTCACTTTCAGAGAATTGCTGCAGGTTACCTTTGCCAAACGCATTTACCAACCAAAGAGAAAATGGAGCTCAGTTGTTAAAGTATCATTTGTATGTTAATCACAGATACATCAATGCACATGCATGCACATGCATAAACACACACAAATACATGCACAACACATGCAAACACACACAAACACAGATATATTTTTTCTTTCTTGCAGAGAAAGTCTTTATTCCCCTCCCCCACCTCCCCCTGCACCTTTGTTTGATTTGGTTTTACTGCCCACTTACACCTCTAGTTCCCTGGCTGCTATTGAGCCTATTGTTTGGATAAAAGATATCATTACTGTCTTACCATCTGGAATAGGAGGGGAGGAGGGAATTTTTTTTTTAAATAATAACCTTGATCCTCTTTAAAAGGGAACTGTCCTTTCTTGTATTTCTTATTATATGCATAATGCAACTGTTTTCAGACATTTGCACAAATACATAGGTATGCTTTAACGTGGAGGATCATTTGTTCTATAGACTCTTCTGATAAATACAATTCTAATAAATACAATTCCTGTGTGGGTTTAAATCTGTCTGTTACAACTTGAACTCCCAAATTGTGTTTGGTTACAACTGCAGTAATTCTCAGCCTGATTGTTAAATTAAATACTAATTTTCAGGCTTCCACTATTAGTTCCGACTCCATGGGAGCTCATATTCTATACAACTGATTATGGTCAGTCTGTACTTACTATCATGATTGTTACTTTTATTATTTAATATTGACTTTGCTCTGGATATAGACAACAGATTAAATCCTTCTGGAATACTTAGTATTAGTGCTATAGCTATTGAGAAAAGGTAATGGTACTCAGCATAGGGGAGCATATAGAAAGAGAAAATGAGGATAACAAAGGAATAAAAAAATAATAAAACAATGTAGGACAAAACAGATATAAGGAAAGAAATTGAATATCTTTTTTTAAAGGTTTGTGAGCTCCCGAGAGTGTTGAGCAAAAAGTATCTAGATGTGCATTTTCCTATCTGCTTAAACTTATGGATATGCTATTTGTAACACGTGTCTTTCTAATGAAGCCCTCCCATTGGTTTGCTAATGCTACATTTTCCCTCATATATTTCTACAAAATAATCGAACTGATGTTTATAAAAAGAAATGTGTACCTATGTATGAATTCATGTATATGGTGAAAGAAATGAGGCGAATGTATGTGTGTGTGTATAGACAAAAGGACAACTTCAGCATTCCAGGAGAAGGTCACAACGGTCCTTTCTGTGGTGAGGAAAGGGGGGGGGTTGTAGGAGAGGGAGAGCTAGGGAAAGAGAACCCCCATCCTTCCCCAAGTCATGTGATTCATTAAATAATTAATGCAGAGGTTGCAGAATAGATATGTATTCGTCAGGAAAATCACAGACATGGACTCCTTGTGTCTGACGTGAAATTCAACTGTCCTTAAAAAAAATCTGCCCCCTCCCTCTCTCTCACTCTCTTTCTTGTACACACACACACACACAAACACAAAAGCATATTTCAGAGGTGGGGGGAAAGGGAGAGAGAGAGAGAGAGAGAGGGAGAGAGAGAGAGAGAGAGGAAGAGTGTGTGTGTGTGTGAGAGAGAGAGAGAGAGAGAGAGAGAGAGAGAGAGAGAGAGAGAGAGAGAGAGAGAGCGAGCC